GCCTATATCTAATAAACATACGCATATGAGAATGACAAATGTCAAATATAACATTATTATAACGAAGCAACACTGTCTCAGTACGTTTATCGTAAGTAGCCATCCAATAATAACATTCTCAGCAACGTCACAGGTTTCATTAGTATCAGTGAGATCTGTAACAAACGAAAGGTGTATTTTGGATACCAGGGCAATGTTATAACACTCTCCATAAACAGAAATTATGATATATCAAAATAACGAGCTACACAACCCAAAGCAGAATTTAAATTCTGTGCAGTAACAGTATTCGAAGTCGTAAAGTTCCGTAATTATGTTTTTGTTGTTTAAAAATTTGTTTTTATCATTCAGCATTTCTACACTGCTGTGGGTGAAATGTAAAGGGGATGGAGTTGAATCAGAATTTCCAGCTCGACAGTGAAACCCAGAAGGGATGTAAAATTAATTGAACCTGTCTGAACACAGAGTAGTTAAAGGGCGGTCGGAGGGGAAGTTGGAGGAGAGATAAATGCTCTTTCTCATAGCAAATCCCTTACTATAACAGCAAGAACGGTGTCAGAAGAAGAAGAAGAAGTTTATTAAGCATCTATTTAGTAATAATTCAACATTGTTGTCACTCATACAACTTCGCTGACAATCTTATTGAGGCCTGAGTAAGAATAAGTTACTCAAAGTCTTCTTGCATCGAGACACTGAAGAAAATCTATCAATAACACTCTAAGAAACTAACTAAATAAATAACTATATGAAACAAACCTTCCCTCAAGAAGTTGAAAATATACTCAGCTAGTCAAAAAATGTTCCGCATCTTACGAAATTAAAAGATTAATTACCGCCTGCAACTTCGTTCTATCCTCAGACAAACGATTCCAGTTCACAAGTTCCCAACTTATTCCCCTAGCCTCCATTTTAATATTATTCCCCCGTCCACTGCCATGTCTCCCGAGTGACCTCTACTCTTCATGTTTTCAAACTAAAATATTGAGCGCATTACAAAACTCATGATAATCATACAATTATTGTAATAAACAAAGACATATTAAACGCTGAAATTCCATGATAAGACACTTCACGAATTACGTAGTTAAAATCATTTCAACGAATTGTATTGAGAGTAAAGGTAATTTAAGATAAAAGAAATTGCTTTGAAGAATGAAAATTTTACCAAGTTTGTTAAGAACTAATATGTACAGGGCTCTACATGAAGAATGTTGAGAACCTCTGCTTTAGAGAGTTGACTGTATTCACAAATGATAGGACTGAATATCAGGCCGTTACATTGGTCACATAACTTAGCAGGATTTTATCCATTTCCGAAAACATTTACTGTCAGGATTCTATTTCAGGCTGTTATTTAGCAGAACTGTACCTGCGTTGCTATGCGACACACCACATCAATGAAGTTAAAGTATTTAAGATAAAATAAAAAATATCTTAGTGTGAAGTGGAGATAGGATATGAAACACCGATATTTCAACAACGAATTAAAGGAAAGAATCCTCTAAAGTAAGTAAATCACACAAAGTTTCACTGCCACACGTATTTTACAGACCGTTGCATACGTCTGATGCACATCAGTCCTGGTTCAACTGTTCGAACTATTTACAGTTTAACCGTGACGATTTTAAATACAAAGACGCCGCAAATCTACACTCCCGCAAACCTCATATTCTCCTGCACTCCACATTTTGCGGATGCTTGGATGCTACTGGTGCATGAAATACGGAACACGGAAAGTAATGTATGGGCATGTTAAACGACGAGTGGAAACACAACCCAGACCAGAGAAGATAACCTTGTTTATCTGCCTTAACAAAACGCGATCCGCTGAACAGCGTTGTGTTCACTGCCAGAGAAGCATGTTCAGAGTTACAGGCAAGAGTCTGTACACGGCATATAAAATAAAATTACGCAAATAACTACAAGAAACACAGCCCTAACAGCCACTCAGCTAGTCAATAAATTTCTAGATTTGAGTATGTTGCCTGGAATCCCATTAATTCCACCGATTCTACCAAATTTGAAAGAATTCAAAGGAAACTTGTAGTTATGAATGTAATTATAAACATGAAGACATATTAGTTAGGTTAAATTTCCTTTCACTCCACCTGAGAAGGAGGCATCTTAACGTTCTTTTTCTCATAAATACTTTAAAGACAAAGTTTGCTGCCCATCAGTTTTGGATTCGGTTTGTTTGCGAGTTCCATCTAGATTCATTAGAGACTATTGCACATTTTCTGTTCATCGTAGTTTCTCGGCTAGGTGTTTTCCTGCTGCCAATGCAGTCTGTAAGAGCATTTGCATCTTTAACAAAGGCTGTATTTCGTTTATGCATATTATTTAGCCCTTTTACTTATGCTATGATTTCTTACTTGTTTTTATTCTTGTATCATATATTGGTTTTTATTTTCGTGTTTGC